GACATTATGCAAATGTGTTACTTTGTGACGTAGCGCCGTAACAGAATAAGATTCGAATTCCTGATGACTCGTTTAGGCGATTGCGAGCCGACTCTTTTTTTTTGATAGACAATAACTTTATTTATTGTCGGCTTCACAACTTTGCAGATAGGTTATGTTCACATACAGCTACATGACACACTGCATGAAAGGTAATATTCGAAAAGGCATAATAGGGGCACTTTAACATTTTAAAAAATGAGTACAAACATGATCAAATTAGTTTCTATCACCACATAAATTACTCTACAACCAAGTCTTGTGAAGATGCCAATAAAGGCCTGCACCATACATCATGTGAGATTTGAATCATCTGCCCAAAATACACACACACTCAATCTCATTCAGCGTGGCCATAAACACATCATTAAGATATGGATTTGAGCTATATTACCTTGATAGAGTAAGAGTGGACTCAAATACCTTTTGTCAGAGGCCCTGAGGACTTTAGCGAAGACCTCCAGCTCACAGAACTCCCCTCCCAGCTGACAGAGGCGGCCTTGCTGGTAAAGCTGGAACACATGAAGAAATGTGAGACTGCTGCTGACCCTATTGTACATGTGACACAAAGACAACTCAAGCTTTCCCTTGGGGGTGCCAAGAGCCAGAAAACCAGGAAAAGTAGCCATTATGAAAACAGAATGTACAATCAGGAAGAGTTTGTGCAAGACCAATAATACGTGTGCCAAAAACCTTTTGTTTGTGATCTGGCACATCTGGTATCCGACACCAAATAGCCTGACTGTACAAAGCTGTGAAAAACCGAATGCAAAGATTAAATGGTTAAATTATCTTCCCAATAGTGTAATTTAACCCTTACTGTTATATTTGAGGCTAAAATCTATGATCATCCTAAGTTAGCCTTTTTGACTCCAAGGCCCCAAACTGTCCACAACAATATTCAAAAGCCCCATAACTTTACCAGTATTTCTTGATTTACTGAAAAAGGATTAAGAATAAGATTTTTTTTTTTATATATATATATTTGTGTACTTACAATTTCTATCCGAGAAAATATTTTAGAACTTGGCATAACTAGAAAAAGTATAATATAAAGTATAAAAATGGAGTAATAAGTTTTATTAATGTACATTATTTTCCCACATCTAGAAATAATACTTCAGTTAAACTTAATTTGTTAAGTCATTTCAACTACACTGACGATAAATGCAGCCCTCTCTTTGGTAATACAGAAAATTTACAAAATTTTAATCATTCCTCAATCATTAGTCATTTGTGGACAACAAACTGTGATAGCCTTTGTATAAAAATAAAAAAAACAGAAAAAGTGGGATTGGTCTAATCACATATTTCCAAACCTCAATATCCAAAAAGGCAAATCAAATAAAAAGAGTTAAACAGGTTGCACTAAGTGGCTTCAAAACACATGAAAAATGCATTATTTTATACAGTTTTTAACATATTTCACATAAAGATTAATGAGATAAAATAAGTAATTTGGGGGTTTCATACATAAATATATGCAGTAGCACTTAACAATAAGGTCCCATTAGTAAAACCAGTAGCTAACATTAACTAACAATAATATTTATTATTCTTTGGTAATTTTAGTTAATAAAAAATAATCAACTGTTCATTTTTAGTTAATGTTAGCTCACGGTGCATTAAATAATAATAAGTGATCCAACTAGATTTTAAATAATATATTAATAGGCTAGATGTTGAAATGATCATTAAATACAATTAATATATGTTTCAGAAGTATTTTAAATTTTTAGTTCATGTTAACAAAAGAGACCTTATTAAGTGTTACCATGCCTATATTATTCTGTCTAATAAGTGTCTATTATTATACTGTACAGTGTTTATTAATACTTTTCACAGTGGTTGGTGACAAACCATTCAAACCACATATTCAGATGCCAGTTGTCTTATCTCACGAAGTCGTTAGAAACACGGTTATGGTTTAAATACTCACATAACATTATAATAAACATATTACACTGGGCTCGTACCCATAAACAGGGTAAAAAGTGAGATGTCACTGTGTTATATAGTTAACTAGTCTTGACCCAGAGAGCTGTATCTCATACAGCAGTAAGTTAGATAAGGTACATGCTAAGATAACTGGAACATAGTGTCCACTTCAACCAGCCTTCACTTAAACTGCCACACAGAAACGAGTGGACTCTCAAAACAGAAAACCTGAACGGTTAAATCGTCTGGTAGCTCGAGTCTCTCCTAACCAGCGCTCCACTGAGAGGTCGCATCAGTTTTTGTTAGCCGAGCTGCTAGTAAAAAGTGTCAGATGCTTTTGGACGTTTGTTCCGCACTGAACCCATTCGCTTTCCTTCTTACCTTGTAGTACACATCAAACTGTATATTTTCAGGCAGCGAGCGGATGTCCCGTCGCGATCGGCCGTAGTTGTCGACCACGGCTGAGATAGCGGTGTTGTACAGGGTCTCAGGGATCCATTCCAGCTCCACCGCGGCCATATTGTTTTCTTTCACTAAATCCAACCACAGCCCCCCTCTTCCACTCCTACTTTCACCTCCTTCGCTACCTGATCGAGGTAAAACTCTTTACTCTGATGCTCCTCATACACCCCCGCAGCTGGAAGCGCTTTTAGAGATCGAAACGGACTGTTATGATAGAGAACACAACCCTAAGGTTATGCTCTCATGTTTAAAGCTCATCCCGATCGAGATGCCCCGCCCACTATATGACACTTTGGGCGACGACGTAGAGCTAGAGCTCAGCTCGCACTCAGTGAACGCGCATTTGAGCTAAAGAGTTGAAGTTACTTGAAAATTGAACGGGTATGTCTTTTTTTTCTTTAAGAATTATTATTGATTTTTATTTTTATTTTTTTCTATGTAATGTAAACCCATTCCTTTAATTGTGTTATCTTTTTGGATGTCTTGTTAAAGTTGTAAATGTTGCATGTTATGTCTTTAATGTCTAATAAAAAAAAAAAAAGTGAACGCGCATTTGACTGTAGTTCAGTGTTGCCAAGTCCGCGCTTGTACCACGGAATAGAGCTACTTTAACACTGTTGCCGCGGGTTGATGTGACCCCAATAACGTGATATTTATCCGCTGGAATGCGAATTTACCAGGATAACCCCGCCAAAAAACGTGTATTTTACCCCCGGAACGCGATTTTTTTACCGGGTGACCCCCTCGAAAGGGATTGGGCTAGTTTTGAGTAGCAATTGTAAGAGTTTTGTTGTGAAAACCTGGCAACCCCGTTATAGTTCAAAATAACGGCCGTTGCAGTGTTGCCAAGTCCTCGGTTTCCACGCGGAACTGGGTTACTGTAGCCGCGGGTTAAGCGACCCCAATAACGTCATATTTATCCCCTGCAATGCGAATTTTACCAGGGGTAAGTTTTGACTAGCAATTGGGTGAGTTTTGTTGTGAAAACTGGCAACCCTGGACCGCTGGGAGGACGACGGAAATCTCTCTTTAATCAAATTTTGTGCCACAATTTAGCATCGATAGTTATGTGGCAGTTAGTCTACGTCTATTGGCCATCTTTATATAGGCCTACATATAAAATATATTTCTTTTATGGGAAAATGGATTAAAATTATTGATACATCCTGCACTACATTGGTCAAAACATCAAAAAAAGGTCAAATTAAAATGCATAAATCATTTTAAAACATTCAGCAATCAAAATGACACACTTATTTATAGTGATGGGAGAAACGAAGCTTTTCGAAGCATTGAATCAATTGAACCACTTGCTTCGAAAAATGATTCGATGTTTCGAAGCACTTGAAACAGCACATGCTGGCGACACCTGCTGGTGAAAATGTTGTAAAAGCATCAAGAACTCGGACCAAACTTACAAAACAAATGGAAATGTTTTTTTTAGAAATACCATTTTTGAAAATAAATAATAAACGCTTAAATAAAACACATACTGATAAAAAATGTATAGCCTGAATGCACTGTAAGTCGCTTTGGATAAAAGCGTCTGCTAAATGCATACATTTAATTTAATGAAAGTACTGAATGTTTTTACACATTTTTTTTTTTTACTATATAGCCATCTGTGTACGGTGGCCGAGAGAGCTCAACGCGCTGCAACTTAAAAAAACACATGCAAATTGAAAAAACACCAGCAAATTAAGAAAACATCTTCATCAGTTTGACAACACACACGCTGCAAATCCTCACAACACATGCAAATGAAGAAACGCGCTGCAAATCCTCACAACACAACCAAATAAGGAAAAATAAGGAATCAGTAGCAGAAACTCAAAAAAAAAAAGAAAAAAAGCCACTGCACAAAACAAATCCCAGCCGGGTCCGTCACTTTTTTGGGTCCCCTTGAAACATTTCCGTTGTGGTCCGTGCTATTTGCAGCGCGTTTCTTCATTTGCATGTGTTGTGAGGATTTGCAGCGCGTGTGTTGTCAAACTGATGAAGATGTTTTCTTAATTTGCTGGTGTTTTTTCAGTTTGCATGTGTTTTCTTAAGTTGCAGCGCGTTGAGCTCTCTCGGCCACCGTACATCTGTGTTTAAGGGAAGTTATCTTTTTTTTAACCCTCAACATCTGGCCCTCAATTCTTTATTTTTTATAGTACAATTTCGTGTGTTTTCATCTCACATGATTAACTGGGCAACCAGAAGTGGTTCATGGGTTCACTTTGAGATCAACACCCCCTAGTGGTGAACCATCGAAGTTTCGAAACGTTTCGAAACAGTGTGACGTAACGATGCTTCGTTTGCTAAAATCACGTGACCTGGCCGGTTCGATACGCGCTCCGAAACACTGATTCGAAACAAAAGATTCACAAATGTTTCGAAACTTCGTGAAGCAGTGTTTCGAACGCGCCCATCCATCACTACTTATTTAAAATAATAAAATATTGTACTCGTTTACCTGCTCGTCATGTGACCAATAACCGATATCAGAAAACAGTGAACATTGATTGAATGTGTAGTCAAATCCTTGAAATATTTACTTAAAATCTCAGGGGATCTTAGGCTACTTCAAGAAAATATTTTAGGTAAAAATATTAAAATAGTTTTCTAATAAATTGTAGGCTCTCTTGTTTAATATGTTTTCGCGGTTGTTTTAAGTAGCCTATACGTCATTCTGCAGTTTAGAGAACACATTAACTCAATAGACAATGGCAAAATATTATTATTTTGCATTGATAAAAATATATTTCAGAATACAACAGAGATGCAAAGAGATGTTCCTTCCCTTGTGAGAGACTTGAAGTTTGCTCATGGGCATCACCTTGGCTAGTAAAATCCATTTTGCAGCAGCATAAGAAAATTCTTTAAAATCTCAGTTCTTGTTGTAGGCTATGTAACACCTTTGTAGGTGAGAAATTAGCATTTTAGCCTAGTGAAATTAAATGAATGGATGCCATTAGTCTGAATGTTATTTCTCTGACTAGATCTCAACCGGTCTCCCTCATATAGGCTAATGTGGGTTAAGTATTCCTTTGTGCCGCTTGATAGTATCATGCATCCTATCTTATATCTCATTAGTATAATTGTAACCATTATTTCTCATTATTTTGAATGAAGTACTTGAAAATAATTGTTTACATTTTACAATATGACAAGTTAAAATGGTTAATCAGTTAAGCAAAAATCACAAATTATCCCATCCACCTGAATAATTGTGTTAGACCATAGTGCACTATGAATAAAATATACAAAAGTACACATAATAACATAATAAGCTCAAAAGCAATTACAAGTACAAAACAAAATATAATTTGGCTGATTTGTGAGCATTTTAAACATCGATGATCACTTAAAATTGCAAACTTATTTTTCAAATGTGTCACTATAATTGTCAGGTAATTTTATAAAGAAAAACAGATCCTCACAAGTGTTGTCAAACTTGTGTACCAACACGTATACAGTGCTATATATGATGGTATTTAGAAACTAAACAAAAACAGCTGGCAAAAGGTCAAGGCATTAGACAGTGATCTAATTAAGAAGACCATGACCCCAAGATCTCGTCGCCCACAAGACCGGTACCTGTGTTATTTTAGTATTATTTATATAATATTTACATTTTTATTAACACGAATTAGCATTTTATTAAAATGAAAATTTATTTATTTATTTATTTATTTATTTTAATTACTGTGTAATTTTGTTATGTGCTTTTGCCATTTGTATTAGTTTTCTAATATTACTATTTAGTTTTCATTTATTTATTTATTTAGTTATTTGTCAGTTAGTAATTTCAGTGCTTCAAATGAAATAGATTTTATTGATATTGTAAATAAGCTTTTATTTTATTTTATTTTAATTATTGTGTAATTTTATTTTGTGCTTTTGTCTTTTTATTAGATGTTTTTGTTTTTTAAATATTTAATTATCTAATATATTTATTTATTAATATATTTATTAATATATTTTTATTTCAGTCGCAGTTTTAGTTTAGTTTTTGCTTTTTTTATTTTATTTTTTATTACCAGTTTATTACCATAAATGCTTCAGATTAAACATAATTTAATTTGTTTGCAAGGCAACAGTTCTACTTTTCATTTAGTTTAAGTTTTTCGTCTAATATTTATATTTAATTTCAGATTTATTTCAATTAACAATAGTAGCTTTAGTTAATGATAATAACCGATGACCCATACCTATCTAATCAAGACCCTTTTATACATCCTTAGATCTATTCTGAGATGATTTAACAGCTGATGACCACCAAAAGCAAAACGAGACAATGGGTTATTATTCTATTATTCTATCAATCAATTCCTATGGCATTGACTTCTGCAGCTGTAGTTCCTAACGCAGGCAGCAGGTGTCGCCGTTTCTTCTCGCTAAACAATAAGCAGCATGCGGCCAACCTACCGCCTTTATCACTATATATTTACAACAGTGCTCGCCTGCTCACGTTCAGCTGCGCCCATCTAGAGGATAGAGCGAACAGAAAAAATACCGTTCCCTGCCCAAAACTGGATATCTCACAACGGTGAGTGCAGACGACTTTTATGTATTTATACATTTTTTTTAAATTCCGTAAACGAGATAATATCCAGTTATTTCTAGGAGGTAAAATTTCATGTCAGGGATGTGAGCCTGGGATCAACAGCAGTCCGCTGCTGGATATAGAGGCGAAGAAAGGACCCTTATCAGCCACTTACTCATGCTAACTGACCTGCTAACTGTAGCCGGAGGATTGTTACATTCACTGTTCATTAGTAACCTTGCGGGTTTCAAGGTTCGATAGTTTCTCGCAAAAATCTGTATACTCTGGTGGTCTGCGTTTAACAGTTCCAGTCCGTGTCCAGCTAATTTAAAGGCTTAGAGGCTGATCTTGAGCGTTAGCGTTTGGCTTTCCTGTCGCAGATGATTGACGAGTCTCTCGCTGCTCCGGTTGACTGACTGGGCAAATTTATAAACGAAGGTTTCTTGTCCTAACGTGACTCTCGCCTGGCTTTTATCTGTCTGGCATTTAATGCGTCAATGATACATTGTAAGCAAACCGCAGGCTCCTACATTGTAACAGAATTCTTCATTATATTGTAACATAGTCGCCCTCACTTTCCTTTCATGTCAACGGTCAAGTGCAAGTCCATGTGTTTATAAACAACAGTATTGAAATGAATCATTAAATTAATTCTTACAGAAATTGACAATGGTAACAACAGTCTCCAAAATTACATAGTTAATACAACGATTGATTACTGTACTTCTGTTAAAATAAGCTTTCAGCAACCTTTCTGTCATTGTCATGACTGTATAGTTTAATATAATGTCACCACAATTATTGTTGTACCAGCTAAAACTATAGTAGAGAAATTTACATAACAGTCTAATGATGTCTACTCACAGTCTAACACAGTCTACTATCCTCAGAAAGCATAGGGTCAATAAGTGTTTTTTTTAAATGAGTAAGTTTACTCCGCAAGTATGCATTAAATTGTTTAAAAGTGATAGCAAAGACATTTATTGTACAGAAGTGTTGTATTTTAAATAAATGCTGTTGAATTTTGGAAACTGGTTACCATAGTACTTTTTTTTTTATAGGAGACTATCTTTTTTACACGTCAGGGGACAAAAATGAAGCTAATAATCTGTGCTATAAAGAGACTGATGCTGATGAAAATGAAAATGAGAATAACTAATGCACTGAACATTAGTAGCATTATTATCATAATTAATGTTGATGCCTTAATTGTTTATACAAACTAGGGTTCACTAGTATTTTTTGCATTTGTATTTTAATGTTGAACTCAAATTATGAATAGTACTAAAACTAGTAGAGTAGGTAGTAATAGGTAGTATCACATTGCATTAAGCGTGCATTGCATAAAGCCTTTTATGGGGAAGAATTGCCTTCCTGTATTATGGGGAAGAATTTGGCCCCTTGTTAATGGAACTTGTTTGGATGATGAAGTCTTCCGCTGGTGGGAAAATAGAAATGTTAGAGGCCCGTGGCTTACATAGCACCTCCCTAATGCCTCAAACCCTGTTTGTTTCACATCCTTATAGTGAAATAATGATACAATATCTTCATTACTCTAAAACCAGTCAATTTTGCTGTTCTGGGGTGCGTTTCCCAAAAGCATTGTTAGCTAACTATGGTTGCAAGTTCCATTGAACTCTATTGGTAATGACGGAACTTGCGAACATAAGTTGCTTTTGGGAAACGCACCCCTGGTAAATATTGTCATGCTACATTATGATACAGAAGTTTGTTTCTTGTGTGAAGGCCAGTCAGTGATTTCTACATAATTTGGCTTTACTTTTTCATAAAATGATTGCATATTGTAAGGCATTTGCCGCTCAGTAGGAAATTATGACTTGACTGGTGTCATAAAGAGTCTAATTGTGCAGAGAAACATGAAAAATTATACAATTATTGATGTTATGTTATTTTTCCCTTTCCAGGGAGCCATAATTAATCCATTCTGGATGTACAGAAGCCACTCTGTCTCTGTATGGAAAAATCGCTTGCTTGTGAAAACATTGATGCTTCTGTAGTGGAACGTAGACTACTTTTGGGGACAGTATGTTCAACTTGATGAAAAAAGACAAGGAGAAGGATGGCGTCAGGAAGGAGAAAAAAGACAAGAGAGACCGGAGGGAACGGATGTCAGCAGCTGAGCTCCGAAGCCTGGATGAGATGAGCATGAGGCGGGGTTTCTTCAACCTCAACCGGAGCTCCAAACGGGACTCCAAGAACAAGTTGGAGATCTCGAATCCGATACCTATTAAAGTCGCCAGCAGCACTGAGCTCAACCTGACCGACATAGAGTCGGATGGCCTCAGTAACCGCAGCAGCATGGTCCTGGATGCAGATCAGCTCAGCGCGGCCAGTTCCAGTGACGATCTGAAGGGCGATTACGGCCAAGATGGCCACCGGAGCTCTGTCAAGGAGCGGGCGGCTAGGTTCGGCTCCCTCGCCATTCAGAACTCGCAAATGGGTTCCATCATGAAGCGATTCTCCTTTTCTCAGAGGAATAAAGAAGAAAGTCCATCCGAAGGTTCCACACCTTCTGGGCAGAACTCGGCTGCCCCGTCTCCACAGGTAGAAACCAAGATCTTTGACCCCCAACGTAAGCCAAGTCTCCAGCATCATCAGCAACAGCCTTCTACTGGGAAAAAGGTGCAGATTCCTGAGATTGTGGATAAGACATTTCCAGCAGACCTCCGCTTGCCTGCTGTTGTGCCACCGCAGACGCCTGAAGTTCGGGAGCTGGTTCTTCAGAGGCGGAACACTGGGGATTTTGGGTTCTCCTTGCGGCGCACCACCATGTTGGACCGTGGCACGGATGGAGGGGTATATCGCAGAGTGGTCCACTTTGCGGAACCAGGTGCTGGTACCAAGGACCTGGCTCTTGGTTTGGTTCCCGGAGACCGGCTGGTGGAGATCAATGGGCGAAATGTGGAGAACAAGAACAGGGATGAGATCGTGGAGATGATTCGGCAATCAGGTGACACGGTTCGGCTGAAAGTTCAGCCCATCCTGGAGCTAAGCGAGCTGAATCGATGCTGGCTGAGGAACACCGAAGGGCTGCGGCGGGAAGCATTTGACGTAAGTCCACACTTTCTCTCTCTTCTCTCATTCATGATCACAGTCTTTCCAGGCAACTCCCCACAAGTCTGCCCAGCTCTTACACATGTGGAGCCAACTGGCTCTTCTCGAGAGTACAAGCACATCATTTAAGATGAACATGTTCTTGTGCAACAGGAAGCGGATTCCTTTCCAGGATGAACATCTGTCACGATGTGTCTAACAGAATCTTTTCTTCCTTCAGCTTTCCACAAGCGATGACTTTAATGACAGGCTATGAAACAGTTTTGTTTGTGTTTTTCTTTGCAGTTGTTGTGTAATAGTTGGACACAGTGTGACATTAAATTCAGAATTTTCCCCATGGAAATTTCACATGCAACAGCACACAGTTCACAGTTTAGTTTTGGTATGTAACTATAAATTTCACTTGCTGTTGATGCTGGTCAGGCGCATTTTCTTGTGTGAGAAGAGTGTGATGAATGGGCGGCACAGCTCTTTTTCGTTTTTCCTTGACAGAGGGAAACCATTGAAACTTATCTGTCGTGTTATGCACTGCTTCCTTGTTGGATAACAGATAAGAAAGGCACTTTGGCATAAATGTTTTGTTTTCTCTAGGATGGGTGGAGGTTGTGTCTTTATTAACTAGCATGTGTGCCACTACTTGGCTGGATCCAATCTGGCCTGCTGTCGTGCCAAGTTGCACATGTTGATGCTGAGACGACTCGCAAAGCTTCCTCCTACAGTAACCGCTGAGGGCATTATGTAAGACTCTTTGATAACTATACTCATTGGATTCCTAGCATTTAGCAGTGTTGTTTGCTTGCTTGGAAAACAGTACATTCAATTGACATACTCTTTTGCTGAGTAACATGCATTTAGGAGACCTCGATAATTTGTTAAAAGGTATTCTCTAGCTGTCTGTGCAACATGAGGGCGCACAACAGAGAGTTGTGACACACAAGTGAGCTTTGAAACTGTGAATCAGAGTGCATCTGAATCATTCAATGTGTTTGTGTGGTGAAGAAAGGTGTTGGCTGTTTAATAATTATCCCCTTCAGTTTGCTGTTTGCTGACAATTATGAATTTAAATGGTCCCTTGGCAGCTACTGTATTTTTCTTCAGGGGGTTCACAGTCCTCTAAGGGTTCACAAGAACGTTGCTGTTGGTTTACAAGATTGTGATAGAAATGCAATGACCAATTAAATTGACAAATAAATGTAAATATTAAAATAACATTTAAATGATTGAATAATGATTTATTAAAATATGAAATAAATTAGATCAATTTAAATAAACTAATTAGTGGTTGACCGATATTGTTTTTTGACAGCCAATGCCGATATTTCAGAGAGCAGGGTGACCAGTAGCCAATATAAAGCTGATATATTGCTCTGCGCCATCCAAATAAAAGTCCCACCTCAAACACATCAGCCAAACAGAAAAGCTTATCAGCCAATGCCGATATTTGAAAAATGCCAAATATATATCGGCCTTTGCAATAATCGGTCGACCACTAAAACTAATTATTAAATAATTAAATTACTAAATTATTTAATTAAATTGCTTAAATGCAAAATTCATATTCATTAAAAGGTTTGTGTTACAATTTTAGAGGGTACGTAATGTAAATAATCTAGGTGATATTAGCCATTTTCTGACATGAAACTCATTAAACTCATTGAACAGATCTGCTATTTACACATGTAACAGCTTTCCTTTTATCTGTATTGCTACAATTCTGTTGTCAACAAAATGCTGTTAACACTGTGTGAAGTAATTTTTGTTTTTGCGCTTGTCCAATTTGGCGACATTTCTTTCTACACTGCAGATAATCACAGTATTTAATGTACAACTAAACTGTGTTGAGTAATTGCTTCAGCTCCTTCAGAAACTCTTTGACAGCAGACTTATTTAAGAGCGCTTTAACACATACATGCTCAAACAGTTATTCTTACAGCTTACGAATTACAATTAAATTAAGTCACCTAAATCGAAAACATCTGTTGTATTTACAGAAAAATTTGGTTGAGAAAAATGACGAATCCCTGGCTTTGACAGTTAAACATCACCATCAGCCTCGCCTTCATTAGACGATGATTTCTCGGCCTTTTGTTCACCTGCGCTGGTTGGTGAATCACCTTTCTTGGACTTAGCCTTCTTCATTTCACTGGTAGATATTATTGAGCAGACTTTCGCAATAAAAATAGTCAGAAATATATAAATTTAAAGAGGCTTTGAAGGAGCTCTCTAAACTTACGTCCACACCATATGGTGCTCTCTAGCGCCCCCCTTGACAGTTACTTTTGTAAAATGTTGGCCACATGATCATTTGGGTTGAGGAATAAAGAGTGTTAAAAAGAGTCCTAAGTGTTTTTGTACTTGTTGAAACAGACCCTGGACTTTTTGTAGTCAGTCATGGCCTAGAGCAGGTGAAGAGCAGCTGTACTTCTGCAGGCTGAACTGACCTAAAGGTGCCTGACAGCACAAAGGCAGAGCGCATAGACAAATTTATCATCATCTTCATCATTACTGCATATACATAATAAAAAATGGGCTGTATAGCCTACAGTAAGGATGGACCTGCTTCTCAGCTTCAGCATTTGTGTCTGTGATAAATCTTAACTCAAGCACTAACGTCTGGCTAATGGTACTATTGTGCTGTAATAGGCTTAGAAAAATAAAGTGATCATCAGCCCTGCCTGTCTATGGAACCACATGTTTGTGAAGGGCTTCCTAATGGTTTTTCCTGTGGAATAGTCTTAACTCTCATTGGTAGGCCAGATTTGTGGCAGCATCATGTGGCAGCACTTCCAGGAAACTCAAGATTTGTTTAGCTTAGTTTTGAGTGATTCTTGCCCATTTGGTAACAGACCGTCTCGTAACAATTAGAACCAACCGATTCATCATGTTCTTCTGCAAATTGGTTGCTGGCGAGCACCTCCATCTCATACCAGAGTGGGTCTGCTGTGCTATTTTGGGTTTTACAAACAAACAAGAGGGACTTGCTTTGCTGCATAGTTAGTCAGCCTCCCCGCTGTAGTCATTATGGTTCATTACATGGCCTCAGGTCAGTGGGAGTATTCTGTGCTGGTTACCCTGACTCTCGCCCCACTGTCTATCGCTCTCTATTGTCTTTTGGCAAGCTGTGCTACAAGCATTGTCTGGAACATCTAATATGTCCTCTGAGAGCATTCATTTTGAGCTGCTTTTGTTGTGAAGTGGTTTTAAAATAAGGATTGGCAGGATGTACTCTAGTATGTGGAAGTGGCAGCAGTGATTGTTTATTAAAACGCATTATTTGTGTTATTGATAGACAGATATATTGGCCAGTCAGAATTTTCAGGTGATATTTGGCTATTTTAACCATGTTCACTTGGAAGAAAGTGTTCTTCTCTTGACTTTATCACTTCCAAATTCTACTAAAACTTGTCATTTTCATCAAAGATTTAAGACTTTTGTTCATCTTTGAAACGCAAATGAAGATATTTTTAATGACACTTAAAAATATCTCTGTCCCTCCATTGAAAGTGCATTACACCAAAACTTTGAAGTTCATAGAGAGATTGTAAAAGGAAATCCAAATGAATCAAGCAATTTAATCTTTTGAAGAGACACAATCTCTTTATATGGACCTTTGGAATGGACTTTTAATAGAGGGATAGCAATCTCTTAGGTTTCATTAAAAATTCTCCATTAACTGTTAAATATCTTTAAAATAGCAAGGCTCCTTTTTCATTTCAGAAAGTTTGAGATTAAGTTGTCATTTTTCGAAATGCCTATCAGCCCAGTTTGTCAGACGGCCGTTGTAGGGCTCTATGAAATATGTTTTTTTTTTTTTTTATCCCAAATTTAGTTTTTCTTTCTTTTCCAAATTCCATCTTTTCCATTTTATTTTTTTCTGGATTCTGTTTTTTGTTTTAAATTTTAATGGTTAAATAGAATTTTATTAATAAAAAAGAATGTCTAGTTTAGTGTTGTCACGGTACCAAAATTTCAGTATTCGGTACCAATAGCAGTGAAAATCTACGGTTCTCTGTACCAATTTCGGTACCAAAGCAAAACACAAAAACATGCTAATTTAAAAACTATTTGTGGCAGTCAGTTTTGATATTGTGGCGGGCCGCCCCAAATAAATCAATGTATGGGAAACACAAGATCTAAATATGAAAAATTAAAATGAAACTTACCTGCTTGAACTCTTTCATTTGATCTGGGTGCCTGTCTTTAAAGTGTTTTGTTTTAGTTTGGTGTGTTTCCTCATTTTGATGTCGCCACGTCTCAGTGCTTTTATGAAGAGAGTGCATCTGCGCACCTTTCGAATAGCGCATCAAGAACCGGGTACTCGGTACCACCGGTACTTAAAAAAAACCTGGTACCATAACGTTTTCCTTTTTTTAGTACGGACTTGGTACCGAAGTACCGGGTCTTTTGACAACAGTAGTCTAGTTAATTAAAATCGTGAAACTTGCACAATTTAATAGCAATTTATGAAAAGTATAACAAAAATTACATTTTTAAGGTCCTATGATATGTTTTCTTTTTTTCTCAAATTCAGTTTTATTTTTACCAAATTCTGTATTTTCCATAAATATTCTGGAGTTTAATGGTTTCATTAATTTAAATTTAATAATCAAAAGCATATCTAATTAATACATTTTTTATAAAAACATAATTTATTATTTTATTTCTTTTATTTTCAGAAATAATGTGTTGTGTATTTACATTTTTCTGCTAAATAAATTCTGGTAAATAGTCAAATTTTTCTGGTAAATATTCTGTTTTTATAATAATTTTATTATTAGTAGTAGTACTATCATTACATTAAGTAATATATTTCAGTCACAGTTTCTTCAAGTTAAACCAAACTTTTATTTTGACGGGTTGCTGTGAAGACCTTTACGTTTTTAAGTTTTTTGTTGTTGTTGTTTTTAAGTATTCATCCAAAATTTGCCAAATTCCTTGACATTCTGCGTTATACAGTAAATTCCTTTTTTGTGACTGGATTCCACAATTCTGTCAGC